GGAGAGGAGACAACCCAAAACACCCCAATGCCATCCCAACAGTCAACACTATCTACTTCAACAAAAGAAAATACTAATACACCTGTACCTGCGTCTGAAACAACACCTGATCATACAACAACCAGTACCGCAGGTACACACAAGACCGCCGACCAAACTAATAGTAAGCCAACCGGGCAGGCTACCGATACCACTAGTCAGAGTGCCGACCCTACGACACTAACGTCGGCAGAGACACACTCTCCTACAGCGGAACCGTGGACTTGTTGGACGGCAACGGACTCAAGGTCACTTCTGGCAGTAGCGAGATCCGTTCGTCCACGCCAATGCAAGGGCATTTGCTTGATTTAAAAGTCCTGCGAACTCGTGAATGAACAAAGATTTATTTTTAAATCTGGCTAGAGAGAGATGTCACACTTCACCTAGTTACCCTGCATCTGTTGCTTTTTTTTGGTGGCCCCACTTCCCTGAAGCGGCGCCGGGATTTCGGAAGATCCGGCCCTTCCGTCAATTGAACGTGTCGCAAAACATGCAGCTTTGTCTGGGTGATGAATCATGACTTGCACTCAATGGTTTTGGTACCGCAACAACCACCGCGGCAGTCTGCAAAATCGGCTCTTCTTCTTACGCGCCGATAACCTGTGATGCTTCTTCCAAAACTCCTCTGATCAGCCTCTCGCGCAATGCGAACGGGTTGCGCGCCCCAAAAGAAGCGCAACGACTATTTTGTTTTTAGACAATACTATACTTAACAAGGATATTTAAAGTAATAACTATATATATAGCATTTTGATTACTTGTTGTTAGACTATAAGTACAGTTATTTCGCTGTTTTTCAGTTGCCTTCTGTCTGTATCCAACTTATAGATAGACGATTACTTCATACTTCATGTCTCAACAGACACCTCCAAACTTGGCATACAGCTGGCCTATGTATTGTATTGAGTGCGATATTCTTGCAAGATGCCGGTGGAAGTTGGAGGGTAACCAACAGTCACATATAGTAAGAACCGCCTATCCACTGGATAGTATTGGATCAGTGCGCTGTGACAAGTGCGCCTCAGCCTGCAGCCAGTCATTTGTTCCGACTATGATTGAAAGCTACCAAGCTAGACCGGAAATGCTATATCAGCCTGTCGTTAGGCGTTTTTTAGGTGACAGTGGTTCATTTTCTTCCAAACGCCCCAATAGCATTCAGCCAGGCCTGATGTCAGGCCGTGTAACGTTAACACAAGGCAGAGAAAATCCTGGAGTGCGGCCCATTTTAAGATAATTGCCGGTAACGTATACAGCAAGACAGAGGCCCTACTATTGTTTAGGCAAGCTGGAAGTGCCTAGCGATAGGTGCGAAACTATTCCTAAGACCACTTAAAGCATTTTTGTCTGTTCAAGAACTAGCTGTACTACAGATAATGGCCTGGGAATCATTGAATCAAGTCAGCTTTGAGTAACAAGAGCCTGTAATACTGTTCTTTCATGTCTCGCCTCGGGAAGGATAACCATAACCCGACAGAGCGTTTGAGCTCCCTTGACAAAGAAGCGAGTGAGACACATTTACTCCTGTCTGTGGCTTTGTTGATGCTCGGAATACTTATTGGAGCATGGTGCCTACCTTAAAGGTTATAAATCGACTGTTTCACGTACGGCTCCATAAATGGTTGGGGACTTGAGGTTTATTGAGGCTCGCTCGTTTGGAATAAGCTCATGATACAGTTTGTCAAATAGACTAACTCTAATAAAGCAGAAACTCTAGTTTATCTGAGTAATATTATAATAGGAATATATAGGATAAGATAGAATAAGTTTAGCTAGGGTAGGATCAGCTATCAAATTTTGCTATACTCAGGCGAAACCTAATCGACAAATAAAAGGCGCATATTTTCATTTATAAAGTTAATACAGTCACTCCTATATTCTATGTTTATTTTACTTTACATTCAAATGTTTCCAGCGCCTACGCAGATACCTCCGACATTTGTTCATGCATCCTATGCCGGTGAAGCAGTGCTAGGTCAGTAACACTCCGCTTCTTGGCGTTGACGGTCCATCATCATGACATCACGTTGCTAGCCGCAGAGAGTTTGGATAAAGTCCCAGATTTTACCAGTAGGTAATTATAGAATGAGTTCTTATTCCAGTCATGGCAGG